GAACAGTCTCAAAGGAGGAGCGCTGGGATAGGGTGGTGGTCGGGAAAAGGAATAACGGGACGGGGTTAAGCACGGGAGGGAGCGCCAGGGGCCTGCAGGTTACAACCATGGTGAGGCGAGCTGTGGCTAGACAGGTGAGGAAGGCCCTCAGGAGAGACCCACAGCTAAGAAAAGCAAGCCTGGTGCACAGAGTAGATAACGGCGAGCAGAACCGGAGGAAGGGAGGGGAAAAGAGGGTGGAGGGAAGCAAAGAAGATGAACCGTGACAGCGATGGCACTGCTGGGAATCTATTTGCAGTATAGATTAACGGAACAAAGAAGATCCAAATTAAGTCACAATACGAATTCCACAGATCCGACGATATGCCTATCACTTATGTCCAATTTACACAGAGAAGTGATAGTACATAAACGTCCGGGAGGATATTTATCCTCCCCTAATCAGACGGTCATCTCAAGGACCAGGCGAGATTTTTCTCGCTGATGGCGACTAATATCCAGAACCATTTATACCTGTCTAGGCCCAAACATTGGATCTTCTTATCTCCTGATCTTCACCTCGGTAGGTAATTCTGGACAACGAATAATTAAAACATGAAGCTTCCGAACGGAACGAAGAACGATTAGGCCTGAGATCGTTGGCTATATTTGACCATAGTGTGATAAATGTCACTGAGTCACGAACGATGAACAAAATGCCACTAGAACTGCCTGTCACAAGTGTAACACCGAGAGAGCTGACGCTAAAACAAGTAGTCAAGTACGATTACGAATATATTGGGCCTTTAGCTATCCCACAAAGCGTTCCACCTAAGGGGTTGATGCTGGGCGATCAGGATTGATCATCCACTGATGTCTGAATCTCAGCGCTTGACACATCCCACCGGCATCCAGTACAGTGAGTCACTGAGCTGAACTGGTCCGGTGAAACGGCGACAGTCGTGACAAACCGAGCCCCTTCCCAGAACACAGCCGCCGATCGGGTTCGGGCCGAGCGACGCTGATTCTTCCAATGGTCATTGGTCACTGCAGTAGCGTCCCAGCTTAGAGCCCACCGACCCCTCACCGTTAAGTTCGCTGTGGAGGGCGGATTGTCCGCTATGCACTTCCACTTGCCAGGGAAATCTCGAAAACTGGGCCGTCCTTTCCTTCAAACGCTACCTCTACGAAAGGATGGATTGCTACACAGCGATGGCGAAGCCATCTGACTGAAGTCTCCCTCAATGCACTGTCGCCGATAAAACGGGACCTGCGCCAAGAAATAATTTCTCCATATACTTTTATGCTCATGCGTATTCGCGTAAGTCTCATCCATTACCGTTGCACCTCAGACAGGGGGCCAGGCTCTGCGCTGCCCCTCCCCTCCCGTCCCCTGCAGGAGAGCGGCGATCAGACGGCGTCCGACGCTAATTAACACTAATCTGACGGCAGATACGGCGGAGAAGCCGGCAGACGCCGTGGGCGGGACGGATCGGGGCGGGAGGGGGGAGGGGGCGGATGGGCAGGGAGGTGGATCGGTGCGGACGGATCAGGGGTGGAGGCGACACTCACGGGGACTCACACCTCATGGGACTCACGGGACTCACGCGGCAGTGGCACTCAAGGAGAACTCACGCCTCATGGACTTACGGGATTCACACGGCACTCATGCCTTCTCCCCCGAGGCAGAGAGGGGAGACAAGCGGGCGGTGCTGACGGAGCTGACGGAGACTGCAGTGCTGGGCAGTGGGAACACTGCTGAGATGGCTCCATTGGTGGACACTGGACAGCACTGCTGAGTGCTGAGTGAGTGCAGTGATTTGAGAGCGCTGCCGATATAGCCACAGCTCACACCACTGCACTGAGACGGCAGCATGAGTGACTCCCGTGATGTGGGAGCACTGAAAAGACGAGAGTGCACGTTGTTGAGGTGTTGCGACCAGGAACCAGTTGCTGAGAGGTGCTGCTGCTGAAATAACTTCAAATCCCTGTTGAATCCCCACATCCATCCCACCGAATGACACTGCTGAGATAAGAAGATCCAATACTGAAAATGCAGTCACTACGGAAGTTACGGCGCATGCAGGCCTCCTTCCGCGACCAGAGCGACTGGCTTCCGGTTTCCGAGATTTCATTCCGGAATTCCGGGTACGTCTCGAAGGACCCTACCGGTCCGACAGGCCCTGAGCCGAAGCAAACTGCGCCACATCCTGTCAATAGCTACTGTCGTAATTCACAGTCCCATTAATGATGTGCCGATGAGCTCGTTGTGTAATCATTGCCAAGTCTCCAGACACTGCAATCCAATCTGACGGACTCGGTCGCCTGTAATCGAGCGCTGTCATTAGTTATTCATCTCTCGAGTGGAAACTCCACTCAAGCTGATGCCTCGAGTCGCTTACACCGGCTCATCCAGATTTAAGCACGCACACGTCACGCCTCTTATCATAATTACAATGGACAGTCACACAACGGCGAGCTTAGGGTAGGAACATTAATGCGGAAGCGATTAATTAAGCGTCTGCTTTAATAATTGCACCTGGCAACGGACATCAACTGTTCCCACAGCACCGTCACCACGCTGTAACGCAGTTCCAGGACGCGGGTCCGTCCATCTGTTAGCACCTCGATGGGCGGAAGATCGTGAGCTTATGTCAGCATCGAGTGGCTGCCCCCTCCCGTCCCCTATCCCCTCCTCCTGCCTCCGCCCGAGTACCCGTCCGGTGGGTCCGACCCACCCTCGGCCGGGTTCCCACGAGACTCACCGGCCCACCGAGCCAAACGTTACGACAGCGACTGCAGCGCTGCAGACTCTGAATCTCTCGTTAATTAATGATGAAAGACGAGCGGCAAAACTCCGGCGGAGTCAATCGACAGGTAATGAGGTGGCGCCGCCGCAAACCGGCAGAGAAAGATTACAGAATGTTTGTTTGATGTCGTGTTTGTTTGAATGTTTTGAACTTGGGAGCTGTCACGTGGATTATACGAGATACTTCCGAGACTACGCGTGTTTCACATGTTTAGTCAATGGTTCGTGACGGGAAAGAACAGCCACACGCTAGCATGCAGCCTTCCAGCCGACTTCAAAATGTCGGAAGTAAAGCTCCATGTCTCAACATGACAACAAACATCCATCTGATGTTTGTCAATGACGGTATGGGTGTTAGCACGAACGTTCGCAGATATGCCTTACCTGTGTGGGCCGATTTCCTCGTCACTCGCCTGTCGTCAGCTCCCGCTCCGAAACTCAGTCCTGGCGGAATTATATTGTTCTGTAACGCCTGGTCACACCACCGTGTCAGTCACTCAGACTCTCCTCCGTTCGCCCTGAGGCGCTGCGACCCACCGAGTCGGTCGCCGTCCGCACGCCACCGCCGTACCGTGCACGCCGCCGTGTCGGGCACGCCACCTCCGCGACGGTTCCCGGCCGTACTGCCGCCGCCGCCGGCCGTGCCGCCAGACTCTGCTGGCGGCCGCCAGGGGCGCTGCTGTCGCCCGGCTGGAGACAGGAGGGGCGGACCGATCAGGATGGGAGGGTGTCGCGGCCACGCGCCGGCCTGTGCTCGACGGGACACCGCTCCGCGCGGCGCCCGACTCTCCTCTGGCGGAGCGGACTGTATACACTCCTTTCTGGGGCTAATCAGACCAGCGGGTCCACGGCATTTGGGTGAAATGAAACTCGTGCCACCCTATTCAACACAAGTAGGCGAAGGGCTTTAGGCAGATCGATCGGATATGAAGGATGGCCACAATTCAGCAGCCAGGAGCCACGGCAATTCAGCGTGACACAGGTGAGAGATAGAAGTCACAATTCAAGCGACAAGGAGGCCCACAATTCAGCAGACCAGGAAGGGTAAAATGAGAAGGTTAAGTGAGTAGAGATAGAGGTCACAATTCAAGCGACAAGGAGGCCCACAATTCAGCAGACCAGGAAGGGTAAAGGAGTGAAGGTAAGGTAACTTGTGTAGAATGAAGAGTTGCGCACGCGCCGCACACGCCCGATTCTAACTCCGCCCGCTCACTGCTGCTCAAGCTGTGTCTCGTTGCTTCTGCACTTCCCGACACAGCACTGAAGAGGTATTTCTATATTGCGGTGTCCAACGAACGGTGCGACGGCTACACGACAGGACAGAGGCACGTCCGCACGCTGCGGAGGCCAGAACAGAAACAGGGCGAGAAACATGTTTACATCAGTTTAAATATGGCGAGAAATGGGGTCACGAAGAATAGCACAGGTGGGGAGGCTGAATAGATCCGGAAACGAAGGGAGAAGAAAAAACACGTCTAGCGACGCGCGGCGGTCACAAAAATAGCCGCACCTGGCCGGCCCGCGCGCATACCTGGGACGGGGACGCCGGCGTGGACAATACACATTCCAGACGCCGCCGTCAAAAACAGGGGGGCCGGTCTCGGCCCTCCCAGGCTGCGCGGCGGCGGAAGGGTCAGGCGGCCCGGTCAGGCCGGGCCCGGGCGGCCGGCGTCCTCGCGGCCGGCCGGTCCCGGCGGTCTACCTGGCCGGCGACGAGCCACAGCCGGTGCATATACATTCATACGTACATGCGGCGGTCACATCCCGCCCCCCGTGTTCGACTCCACGAGAACACTAAACACAGTACCGCCGCTGATGTATCGGCTGGTAGACGGCCTCGACTGGGCTGCGTCTAGAGAGGGCGAGCAATCGTCAGCTTTCTCTAACCGGCTGGCGCGAACGAAACACGACACACATATTTACATAACTGTTCTCAGCATTTGCACACTTCCAGCACCTCAATCTTGACGCCGGACCATCTATCCTCGCATCGTCCTGCCGCCTTGATCTGGACAGAATGGACTCATCCATCTGGTCCCGGTAACACCTGGGTCACGCGGGCGAGCGGCCGCATATCCCGCGGCGTGTTGGAGTCGTGTTGGAGACTGTGGCACTGGCTGGCTGTGTTTGGTCCTGGAAGCTCCTGTAGATCGCGATTTCCCTTTCTGCTCGGACAGGAGCTCTCCAGCGCTGACTCTGCTCTGCACAAACATCACCTGTAGCGCCGGATCTGGGTCGAGGACATCTGCCGCCCCCGGTGCTGCTGCGTCTGCTCCATCGTTGCCTGCATCAGGCTTTGCCACTGGGTCATCAGGTTGTCGCGACCTGACTGGCCGACTGCCGTGGAGAAGAGCGTGATGTCGGTACTTGCAGCCATCCCTTTCACAGCGCCTTGCCTTTCGGCAGTCTACCACGCGATGGCCCTTCCTGAGGCAGTGGAGGCACAATCTCTGGCTGAATGCGTATTTGAGCCTGGCATCAGGAGACTTCCCGATGAAGATCTGACACTGCTGCAGATCGTGCTGGCCTTCACATGCTGAGCACATCTGCTTGTGCTTTGGATTCGCGGCTGTGAAGAAGGTTTGTCTTTGGACGGTCTCATCGGCGCGTTCGTTTCTTTGCCTGGCGCCGACTTCTTCGCCGTCCCCTTTTCCCTTGGGACAGCTTCTGCTGATCTTCACTTGGGTCTTCAGCCACGAGTCCACGTCTAGAAGTGATGGTCTGGTCGGCTTTAGTTCCAGTGAGAACTTTCCCCACTCTCGTCTCAGCTCCCGAGGGAGTTTTTCCACCGTCCGATGCAGGCTATTACTGCTGTGAAGGTCAGCATCTGCCCCCATGCTCTGGAGGATAGTCACGGCGCAGTGTACCGTCGCTTGGAATCTTTCCAGCGCTTCTGCATCATCTTCCGTCGGGTCTGGGGCGTTGAAGATGCTGTTGAGGTTGTGTTTGATGATATCGTCATCTTGACCAAACCGCTCCTCGAGGGCTTTCAACGCTTGGTGGTACAGGCTTCCATCGTATAACATGCCAGAAATGGTCTGCTGTGCCAGTCCTCTCACCGATGATTGAAGGTGAGCGATCTTTTCTGTGTCGGAGAGGGACAGCTGATCGTGCACCAGTGCTTTGAACAATCCGCTCCATCTCGGCCATTCTGAAGCTTTACCACTGAAGGTCGGAAGAGTCAGTTTTGGGATACTCTTGGCGAAGGCTGAAAACGGAGCTGCGCTCTCTGTGCGCTGGGTCTGACGCGGACTGCGTAGCTCTCCTATCCATGACGTGTTTTGCCTCATTTGGTGAGATCCTGAACCTTTGACCGGCTCTTCACGACGTTCCTCCATTTCATGGCTTGGTGCTGTAGCCGACCTATCACACGACAGCTGTACTTCTCGCTGATGACTTCTGATTCCGGCTTCTTCTGTTGCAAACAGCTCATCTTCGAAATCGTTCCTCCTTTCGTCTTGAAGGTCACCGTTGAGCTCCTTACGTAGATTAGCTTCGAACTGGGCTGCTTCAGCTTCATCTTCAGCATCTTGAAGCTGTCTTCGTCTCTCGGCTTCCCTCTCTTGGCGCTGCTCTTCTTGCCTGCGGCGCTCTTCCTCTTGTTGCCTACGGCGCTGTTCTTCCTCCCTGCGGCGCTGTTTCTCCTCTTCTTGACTTTCTTGCAGTCGCTGTTCTTCTTGCCTACGCTTAAGCTGCTGTAGGCGTAGTGCTTTAATCTTAAACGCAACCTCTGCTTCGACTTGAGATGCTCTTGAGACGGCACTCGTCTGGCTCTTCTGAGCGACAGAAACGACAGAGCCGGCGTCTGATGGCGGCTCATCTCTGCGCTCTGCTAGATGCTGGGTGATTCTTTCGACGATATCTTCTCTATCACGTTCTGCCTTGGCACAGTACTCCTCTGCATCAGCCTTATCTGCTTCAGACGACAGGCAGGCTTCCAGTGCATCATTCGCTGTGATGACGCCTTCCAATGCCACATCGACTGTCTCGAACAATCCTTCTAAGGTTGAGCGACTCCCACGAACGGCGATGAGTAATTCTGCTCTGTGGCACGCGCGGGAAAAGGCTGCCAACTTCTGTCCCCTTTTCCGGCGCAGCACCTTCAACTCCTCGCTCACCGCTTCATGACGCTTCTCTCTTGGGACGCTCTCTTCCAGGTCTGCTGAGGGAGGCTGTTCTGTTTCTCCTGTTGCTGACATGTTGCCGGATGGATCCGGCCCGGAGGACCAGTAAATGTCGCGGCCACGCGCCGGCCTGTGCTCGACGGGACACCGCTCCGCGCGGCGCCCGACTCTCCTCTGGCGGAGCGGACTGTAGACACTCCTTTCTAATCAGACCAGCGGGTCCACGGCATTTGGGTGAAATGAAACTCGTGCACACCCTATTCAACACAAGTAGGCGAAGGGTTTTAGGCAGATCGATCGGATATGAAGGATGGCCACAATTCAGCAGCCAGGAGCCACGGCAATTCAGCGTGACACAGGTGAGAGATAGAAGTCACAATTCAAGCGACAAGGAGGCCCACAATTCAGCAGACCAGGAAAGGTAGAGGAGTGAAGGTAAGATAACTTGTGTAGAATGAAGAGCTGCGCACGCGCCGCACACGCCCGATTCTAACTCCGCCCGCTCACTGAGGCTCACTGTGTCTCGTTGTTTCCACACTTCCCGACACAGCACTGAAGAGGTATTTCTATATTGCGGTGTCCAACGAACGGTGCGACGGCTACGACAGGACAGAGGCACGTCCGCACGCTGCGGAGGCCAGAACAGAACAGGACGAGAAACATGTTTACATCAGTTTAAATATGGCGAGAAATGGTGTCACGAAGAATAGCACAGATGGGGAGCTGAAAGAATCCGGAAACTAGGGAGAAGAAAAACATGACCGCGGTGGTCCCGAAAATAGCCGCACCTGGCCGGTCCGCGCGCCCACCTGGGACGGGGACGCCGGCGTGGACAATACACATTCCAGACGCCGCCGTCAAAAACAGGGGGCCGGTCTCGGCCCTCCCAGGCTGCGCGGCGGCGGAAGGGTCAGGCGGCCCGGTCAGGCCGGGCCCGGGCGGCCGGCGCCCTCACGGCCGGCCGGTCCCGGCGGTCTACCTAGCCGGCGACGAGCCACAGCCGGTGAATATACATTCATACGTACATGCGGCGGTCACAGAGGGGATAGCGACATCACGGTGGCGATAAAATGGCATGCGGGCTATTCCCGACAGGTGGGAAAGGCGAACAAGGAATGCCGTCGTCGGTGTCTTCCAATAGGATGAAACGTTGGAGCTGGACGGTTTCGCATCATTTTTATATCGCCCGTGGCGCCTTCGACCCTCCGATCACGTAGAAACCAGAGATGTAGACCCGAAATTGTCCAGTCTTGGTTCTAAGATGATATGCAAACATTAGAAAGCTCAAGAGCATTCAGCTAGTATAGTTCGGCATAGGCCAAATCGCTAGTAACGTCTACGCTACTGTCGGATGCATAGGAACCCCTTCGAAACAATTACCTAATGGAAAATAAAATCTGTGTAGGAAGAATACAAATGCAAAATCAAAACATATCATGGACGTTTAAGGTTTACAACATGAGGAGCCCAAAAGGAAAAAAGATTAAAATGAAAGTGAAAGTCCGAAATTGATGCCTGATGGAGGCCTGCATGTTTTATGAGAAACACAATAAGAGAACACAATGGTTTAGGTACGAATCAATTTAATAAAATTTTGGAAGGAAGCCTGGAATTTGAAGAAGCAAAAAACACCACAAAACCCACCATTTGACATAGTTCAAAGACTACAAAAGTGAGCATAGCTGGCTTGATTCAGAAAGGTCGTGCAAAAACATCATATTTACACACTCTAGTTATCCGGCATTTCTCTGCACCATCCACCGACCACCGAGGCCTGTTGAGGCCCTGAGTTGACGGGTAATTTGAGTGTCATTCCGCCCTCCAACTCGTCGTTGTAGCACCGCCCCATGTTTTGTCCACCTACACAGCGCCGCGCGGGCTCACAAACCACGCAATTACCGGCTGGCCGGCACCCAGCCAGCCTGCACGGACCGTTTACAGAGCATCGAGACTGTCCGGTTCACCGGCGACAAACACCGGCCCCGAGCCAGCCCCGTGTGAGCTGCAATCGATATCGGCGACCGACCGACCGGCCCTACCTGTCTGACACCTTGACGGACGCCGCTCGACGAAAACTGACCTCGGACACAGACCGTGATCAATGATCCCCCGGGCCACCGCTGATAGGGGTAATGGTTGACATAGGTCAGTTGGAAGCCGTTTCGACCTCCTAAACTGAGATTCACGATGATATCTGACATTCGATGTGGCGTATTTTACTACGACGACCTGTACCAATATGAGTTGACCCAGGTCTGAACGTAAAGCTTCACCAGTGCAGCGTCCGACCTCCCGTGCAGAGTCCGTGCTGGCTTGGCCTACTCCCCTGACAGCGGCGATAAATCCCCGCCTGCGCCGCTATTTGTCTTGACGAGCCGGCCGCAATCTGGCGCTCCTTACTCAGAGAGGCTGCTGGATCGCACCGCTCCGGATTGCGAGCTATTTATGTCATGCAGTCTAATGTTTGAGATGTGAGGTGTAAAGGCTGAGGTGTCAACTCTGATGGCTGAGGTCTGAATGACGAAGCCTGAAAGGAGAAAGCTTCGTGGAGCAAAGAAGCATCCTTTGTCGCCAGTGGTACAGACTACAGACTAGTTTTACCTAACAGTACATATAACAGTACGGTGGCGCAACGGCGCAACGCAGCGTTTCACGAAGCAGAGCGCGAATATGCCCAGACGATGAGACGTGGAAGAGTTAGACATGTTCAGGATCGGAGAAGCACAGCGCGGAACGACGAGAGGAGCAGTGCACGGAGACTATTGCCGTCTCAGCTCAGTCAGCGCGTCTCCAGACAGACGCCCGGTGTGGGTAATGAGAACCAGCTGTGACGCACTCTGGGCGCGCGAGCTCTGCACTGCGTGCCAAGCTCCGAGACTACGCGATGGCCGAGATTTGAGCACCTCGTGACGACAGGGGAAGCCGAGAATAGAGCACGGAGCATTGAACACCAAGTTACGGAAACAGAGCACAGGGAACCAAGCTCCCAGATCAGCAAAACACTAAGAACAGAACATCGAGCACCAAACTCTGGGAACGGCACACTGCACCAGTCTCCGAGAGCAGAGCACAGAGCACTGAGCGCCTCTCGCTGAACTCCTCTCCCCGATCCCGGCGCCCGACGCTGAGGCATGGATGGAATCCGGCGGCCGTGATTGCTGCCACCGCTCACCGTGCGCCATCCGTCCGCTCGATCGGCCAGCCAGCCAGGATAGCCCGCTCAGCCAGCGAGGATGGCTCGCTCGACCGGCGAGGACGGCCTGCTCGACCGGCGAGGATGGCTCGCTCGACCGGCGAGGATGGCCCGCTCGACCGGCGAGGATGGCCCGCTCGGCCAAATAGCCGTCTGAATAGGCAGCCCCCGCGGCGGTGCCTGCCGCCGAGAGACTGCACCATTACCACACGGAGGACACGGCTATTAGCCAGCTACCGCGGCCCGAACATGGTATGGCGTGCAGCGTGTACCCAGGGGAAGCGACTGCACAGAGGTGGACCACACAGAGTGCGGTGCTGTGGTATAGAGCTATAGGACCATATGTGTACCCACACCCCTTTGTAGGTATTTGACTTGACGTGCGTCACATATTTTGTGTGCAATTCTTTAGCGTATTTAGTTCTTTGTTGATCGTTGGATTTTCGAACATTTTCTGTAGATCATTTATGCATTTGCAGCTTGTGAACTGATTGCAATATTCTCGGCCTCGGGGAATAAGTATGCATACATATGCAACGTGTATATGTAGTGGTGAGAGAGGCTGGAGAAAAAAAGGCTGGAGTCAAGTCAAAGAAGTTTTGGTGGAAAACGGTGCAGGACATTTGCCTTATCACCTCAGTTTCCACCGTCCCCGGCCGCCGAACTGAGGGAGGAGTCGAGCGGATATGATACGGTGATACGGTGATCAGTTCTCAACTGGAACCTGGCGCCGGCAGGTCGTTTGCCGTTCTGTTCGAGGGCGGGTCCACACGCCCGGAGCGCCGTCAGCTGATAAATGGCGACGTCACCGCCAGGTTCGGCCGTCGCACGCAGTCCCCCTCATCCCCTCCCCTCACGGCAGTCGGTCCCCTGCCCGTGTTCACCCTTCAAAGCCGTAGGGGAGAGCGGGGTCATTTGGCCGCCCGGGTCACTTTGGCCGCCCCATGCCTACGCGTTTTGACGGTCCCGAGCGATTATTTTTTAATATGGCATCATCCGCCGTCATAAGAACTACTTTGGAAAGAAACTAAGGAAACTCGGCGACGCCCAGTTTTTTTGTAAAGCCAACGATATGTGAATTTTGGCTAAAAAACGTAACTTTTTCTTCTCTACGAAAAGTTGCATGGTGTCCCTTATTTGGGTGACATCAAAATTTTAACTCTATTGGTAGAACAATCTGGTAATTCAGGGAGCTGTCTGACACTTTTGCAAGTTTAAGTAACAATTTTTGCTTGTCTGCGGACCCTTTTTCCTAAAAATGTCATATTGGGGTAAATTGGCCGCCCCATACGGGGCGAATTGGCCGCCCAGCGACTCAGCTGATTTTTGCCTAGTCTGCGAGCGACGCGCTGCGCTGGCTAAGTTCTGCCACTGAGGATGGTAATGCGGCGGAGTCTAAATGCAAGGGACGACCTAACCAAGGTGTCCGCTGATTGGCTTTCGGCACCCGGCGGCAGATGGTGAACCCGGGACGTCACATCGACCTCTACCAGGTGGCGCCGATTTTTCGTCGTGCCTAAGACGCCACCTTCACGTGGAAGAACATCCTTAAGGGATTCGAAGCAGCCGGGATATCGCCGCTCAACCGGGATATCTCCGACGACGACGACTGCGCCGACGGCGGTCTTCGCATCGGTCGTCGCCCCAGCGACGGCAGATCAGCACGCCGCGCGCGGCCGTGCTCCAGTCGCCTGCCGCGGCTGTGCTCCAGCCGCCAGCCCCGGGGCCGGCCGTGCTCCAGCTGCCTGCCGCGGCCGTGCTCCAGCCGCCTGCTGTCGCCGTGTCTTAGTTGCTTGTCGGAAGCCCAGAGTCCATCCGACCACTCCCGCAGCTGCGCATCAACGTTCAAAAAGCCGGTCGGAGGAAAGGGCGTTCTAAAATCATGACTAACAGCCCGGAGCGGACGACTTTGGAGGGCGAGCAACAGGCACGTATGGCGAGGAGCAAAAAGCGGGGTCCACAAGCTGGACCGTCGAACCATCGAACGTCGGGAGCTGGACGTCGAACCATCGAACGTCGGGAGCTGGACCGTCGAAGAAACAGGGGCGCAAAGGTGAAAAACAGTGAAGCGCAGTGATGACTGGACATCCATGCCGTATTTTACAGTGGATGTGTTTAAGTGCTGGGTCGAAGACAGGGCCTGCTGGAATCGTTTTTATTTCATGTTTACGACAGAGTTTGAAATAAACAAACAACTCGTACACAAAGGACTTTTTTTGCAGTGTGATTGTCGTCTAAAGCAATCTACGATTTGGCAGCCATTACAGTTGGCTGTTGTTATCACTGGGCAGTGCTCAACTCATGAGTCGAAAGTTCGTAAATCAAATGTGGCTCCTCACTTGCACTGATTCAAATGAATCGAGTGTAAGCCTAGTCTTTTGAAAAATTTGATTTCAGGCGAATCAAAGATGAGTCACGATGCTCATCATTTGTGTCAGCATTGGGGCATCTGGATCGTCACATCAGTCATGCGTCGAGTCAATCCAGAATTCATGAGTTAAGCACAATCTGGGGCGTCAATATTTCAGGTTGTCTCAGCTCTGTAATGGGTATATCTCTGAATCACATACCCGGACAAATGACCCCACTCCCCCGGCCAAATGACCCCGGTACCGGGGTCATTTGGCCGCCGAGCAGTC